ACACCATCCAGGATGCTGATGGGCATACCGATTGGGTTTCTTGCGTTCGGTTTAGCCCGAATAATCTGCAGCCGACAATTGTTTCTGGGTCGTGGGATCGAACTGTGAAGATTTGGAATTTGAGTAACTGTAAGATGAGGGCAACTTTGGCTGGGCATACTGGGTATGTGAATACTGCGGCGGTTTCTCCTGATGGATCGTTGTGTGCTAGTGGAGGGAAGGATGGAGTGATTTTGTTGTGGGATTTGGCTGAGGGAAAGAAGCTCTATTCGTTGGATGCTGGTTCCATTATCCATGCTTTGTGTTTTAGTCCTAACAGGTACTGGCTTTGTGCTGCAACTGAGGCGAGCATTAAGATTTGGGATTTGGAGAGTAAGAGTATTGTGGTGGATTTGAGGGTTGATTTGAAGCAAGAGAGCGAAATGGCTGCTGAAGGCACCACTGTTCAGACAACTGGTGCTAAAAACAAGGTCCAATTTTTGCCCCCTGTTTTCTTAAATTTTGTTGATTTTAGTAGTCAGGATGATGCAGCGAATTTGTTTATTACTTTATCTGTTCGTTTAGTATGGTGGACAATCCAGTATTTTGTTGTGTGATCAAGAAACTGTGTTTGTGTTTTGAGATCATGTGCATTTGGGTAATACTCTTAGATGCTGTGTTGTGGGTTTAAGTTGTTTGATTTAGTTTGCTCCGAGCTTATGCAGCTATGTAAAGATCTTGTGGTAATGGTTTGTGTGAAATATATTGTATGTGTACTAAGTTGAATTAAGGAGCTTGATATGGTTTATAGTTTCCCATTGCTTGCAATGGGAACTTTGATTGTGTTTTTTTTTTGTTTTCATGAAGCTGTACGTGCTTTCTTACACAGTCAAGGTCCTACAGAAGAATTCAATGTCAATTTGATCTTACAGTGAATTTTTATGTTGTGATCAGCATACGTAATCTTAGTGCATTTTTGTGTACCTTTTGTGTCAGTAAAATTGTTTTTTGATGCCAAACGTGGTGTGCATTTGGATGAAAACATTGAACTGTATTCTGAAGATTTTCCAGTTGTTAGGTTGGAAATGTTGATGCTTCCATGTTAGTTTCCTATGGGGTTCATTTGATCAAATTTTAGCTTGAACTATACTTGAATGCCCTACTCTTTTTGGTTCTCTCCCATGCCATGTTGAAACTTTCTGAGTCTCAATGCTGTTACATTGCTATTATTCTGATTAAGTGGAGTTTTCCTTTCTGTGTAAGTTCATTGTGGAATGCGTGGCACCATGGCCTAGAGTTTATCTTGGGTAAAAACCTGTGAGAGTTTGGTTTGTATTTGCTTTATAGGATTTATTTGCGTGTTGGCTGCCTAATATTATGCTTGTCATACTCAGTTGTCCTCACCAGGCTTTTGCTGCAATTATACAGTTGCCAACATAGCTAGTAAAAGCTGTCCATGTTTTACCCTGGTTTTGACCCTATAAGTTTACTGGTCTATTTAAATTTTTATTTTCTGCACTGTGGCTTGCAGGTCATCTACTGCACCAGTCTTAGCTGGAGTGCTGATGGAAGCACACTTTTCAGTGGTTACACAGATGGTGTCATCAGAGTTTGGGGTATCATGCGTTACTAGAAAGCATATGTGGTGTGGTGGTGCATTCAGCACATGCGTGTCATAGTGAAATTTAGTTGTTTAGATTTAAGTTGAAATGCTGGAAGGATATTTGGATTCTATATTTTTGTTTTGATGATTTTGAGATCTACCTTGTTTCAATTTTGGATATTACTGTAGTCGTTACCCTGAGTTTCCTAGACTCCTATAAATCAAGTTCTTTTACTCAAAACCATGTCAGTTACTTTTCAATCCCCCTCCACAGTCCGATAGATCTCATCCTTGAAATACCAATTTACTTGGGAAAAAGTTTGCATGTTTCTTCCAGTTACTATGTGATTTTCCGCAGCTGTGAACACTGGGTTGTTCATTTCTTGGCACCTCATGCTTCAGCTTCAATCCAAGCTTAAACAAGTTGTCGTGCCTAGTGTTTGAGAAAATGCAACCCTTGATGAAATGGCCTGCTTTTTGGACTCTGTGTATTTCGCATGCGGTTCTTTCTTTTCTCTTTATTGCTTTGGGAGCGGAGGTATTTCCGGATTCAAGGTTAGAAATGATAGAGCGTTGGGTCCTTAAACTTTTTAACTCTACTGCTGTAAGAAGGGTAAACAGTTTTCCTTGGTTTGATTCACATCATTCTAAAAGAAAATGACTTTGACAGGATTGCATACACGCTGTCATGTGAATGTAACAGATATGCACTTGTCTAATTAACAGTGAAATTTATAACGGTATTGTGCTGCCAAGTAAATGATGTGAATATCTCCTCGGCTTTTAAACACAAAGTTTAGTTTAGAGTCACAAAGTGGAAAAAGGTGTGGATGTGCAAAAGAAGCACTAGCCTAAAGCAAAACTAGAAGCGCACTCAAGTAAATAGGGTACGAAAGAGATGAGGAACACCTAGATGCTACTCAAGAAGGCCTTGGGGCATAGATTTAACAGGACATACTTCAAAAATTAGGCCTAAAGATCTTTTGTCGACGTTTGGTTTTGTGCTCTCTCGAGCTCATTGTAATGCTCAATCGCTGTTGCACGGTTCAAAATTGTTGTATAACATGAAGACCTGTTGGATATCTGTCCGAAAATTGCTCAGCGAGGTTCGTCATGAGCCCACTGCGGTGGAGCAAATCTGACCAGCTCAGTGAACTCTGCGTCATATTGTGCGACAGACAGTATCCTGCTCTAGACGGAAAGATTCAAGCATCCCACAAAGAGCTTAAGTGCCTTTGTGGTCCAAGGGCCGTTGGTTCTTCTTTGAACATATTCGAACTATGTGGTCCTGCATTCACCATTTGCCACCAATGGCGTGCAGGAAAGTGGCATAGGCCACTGAAGAAGCACGGAACTTCCCCTGACCGAGCTGACCTGATGAGCTCGGGATGTCGATGGAAGAGCTGGTTCCAAGCCTGCAAAACAGAGGAGTGGACTTACGAGGGAGCCCTGAGGTGGTCCCCGAGGGCACTCCGACGGTCAAGTTAATTTTCCGGTGAGTAGGGTTCCCGGGGATTAACTTAGTCAGAGTGGATTGAGCATCAGGAGTGAGCGTACCTTGGGCAATGGGTGTGTAGCACTATTTATACCTGGGCCAGAGTCCGACCTCCGTACGTTCCGGGACCTTCCTGATATAATCTCAATCCCGCGCCGAGCGGGATCTCCTCCGACCTCTGCGGGACGGTCTCCTGATCCCCCTGGAGCCCTAGCGGGGGTGCGGCCCAGGGCGGTCGCCAGGAGCCTGGGGCCGGAGCCCAGCTCGGCTATACCTGGGCTGCCACGTGTCTAGGCCCAGTACGGGGCCTCTGCACTAGCCCCCTAGATTAGGTAAGACTTCCAGGCAGACCTAATCTATACTCTGCCACGTGGGAGACCAGCGTCGTGCACTGCTCTGCCCCGGTCACCTCTGGTACAGTGCTGTCACTGAGAAAACCGCGCCGATCTCCTGGGTCGAGCGTCAAACTCCCAAGTTTCGACAAACTTGATCAATGCGTGCCGACCTCATGGGACCGAGCATCAAATTGCCACTGACATGGTTTAAGCCCCCAACTTTTAAAGATTTGAGCCTTGCCGACCTCCTGGGTCAAACAAACTCATTCAAGTTAAGGCACAACGTGCCGACCTCTTGGGGCCGAACATCGCACTTTCCGACTTCAAAATTTCAAGCCGTGCCGACCTCTTGTGGCCGAGCATCATACTTTGAAGGCAGTCACGCCGACCTCCCGGGTCGAGCGTCGAACTCTGATTTTAGCGGATATGCCAACCTCTTGGGGTCGAGCATCACATTTCCAAGGCAGTTATGCCGACCTCTTGGGTCGAGCGTTGAACTCCCTGATTTTAGCAGACGTGCCGACCTCTTGGGGTCGAGCATCACATTTTCCAGGCAGACATGCCGACCTCCTGGGTCGAGCATTACATTCTCAGGGCAATCGTGCCGACCTCCTGGCCGAGCCAGCGTGCTCCCTGGTTTTGACAAGCTGTCTCAAAGTAAGTCACGGCGTGCCGACCTCTTGGGGTCGAGCATCACACCTTCAGGACGGTCATGCCGATCTCTTGGTTCGAGCGTCAAGCTTTACAGGCAGTCACGCCGACCTCCTGGGTAGAGCGTCAAGGCTTTAAAGATAGCCCTGCCGACCTCTTGGGTCGAGCGTCAAATTCTTAAGGATAGGCCGCGCCGACCTCCTAGGCCGAGCGTTAGACTTCCAAGGTATTCATGCCGACCTCATGGGTCGAGCGTCGAATTCCCGGATTTCCGCAAACTCAGACTCTAAAGCTTCAAACTGCGCCAACCTCCTGGGTCGAGCCTCGTCGAACTCCCAGGTTTCGAAGCTTTAAACCGTGCCGACCTCTTGGGGCCGAGCATCGTCGAGTTTCTCGTGCCGACCTCTTGGGGCCGAGCATGATAGAACTTCTCGTGTCGGCCTCTTGGGGTCGAGCATCGTCGACCTCCTGGATCGAGCGTCAAGGCTTTAAAGTTAGCCCTGCCGACCTCTTGGGTCGAGCATTAAACTTTAATGGCAGCCACGCCGACCTCCTGGGTCGAGCTTCAGGATTTTAGAGATAGTCCTGCCGACCTCTTGGGCCGAGTATTGAACTTTAAAGGCAGCCATGCCGACCTCCTGGGTCGAGCGTTAAGGCTTTAAAGATAGCCCTCTCCGATGTCCGAGCTCTCGATCTGACTTTCTCTTCAGGCGAGCCGCCTCCTCTGCGTTGGCAGCTGCGTGAGCCGGGGTCAAGAGCTCCTCCATGTCTCCGGGAAGCTTCTCGGCCAGCTTGTAGAAGAGCTCCTCTACCCTGAGCCCGTTCATGAAGGCGGCCATGACCACCTTTTCGTCCTTGTCCCTGATCTGTAAGCTCTCCGTGTTGAAACGGGTCATGAAATTCCTCAACGACTCGTCGGGCCTCTGCCTGATAGCCATCAGGTGAGTCGCGGTCTTCGAATAGGTCTTGGAAGAGACGAATTGGACGACAAACTCTGGCCAGCTCTGGAAAACTCCGGATGGACCCCGGTGCCAGACCTTGGAACCAGAGCCGGGCCTTCCCCTTCAGGAACATGGGGAAGGTCTTGCAGCGGATCTCGTCCGCCGCAGTTTGCAGGCGCATGTGCGTCAGGAAGACCGAAAGGTGATCTTCCGGGTCGGTCGAGGCATCGTACAACTCGATGTTTGGGATCTTGAACCTCCGGGGTAGTGGGTAGTCTTCTATCTCCCGGGTAAAGGGCGATGTCATGTAGTCGTCCTCGTACGGCCGTGGCCGCAGGATCTGCTCGATTTCGTTTCGGACAGGCTTCCACAGAGGGATCGCGCGGCCGGCTCTTGACAGATCGGGTGGGAGAGCGTTCAGGCTCGTTCCACGCAGGCTTCCGTGGGGAGGGGTCCCTCGGCCTGCTCCCCGCGGGCCTGTCGCGGGAGTGCCTTTCGCTGTCCCCTACCACCGAGGCTCGGGGGCGAGGGGGAGTCCGTGGCCGTTTCCTCCGGGGAGGCTGGTCTCGTGACCCATCCTCCGAGGGGTCGGGAAGTGGTTCCTTTTCCTTCCCCTTCACCTTGGAGGTATGTGCGCCACCGGCTTCGCCCCCTTCCTTCGCCTGCCGGATTATGTCTTCCAGCATGGGGAGGTTCTCCGTCACGAACTGGAGGATCTGCTGTCTTCGCTCCCCTGAGAGGGCTGAGCCCCCAACGCCCCCGACCGCTTCGGTTTCCGCTCGGCGGGATCCCTCTCCGGCTCCAGGACCGGTGCTTTCAACGGTTCGCTTGGATCGTGTTCTTGCCATCAACACTAACAATTACCTTTCGGTTCCCACAGACGGCGCCAACTGAAGAAGCACGGAACTTCCCCTGACCGATCTGACCTGATGAGCTCGGGGTGCCGATGGAAGAGCTGGTTCCAAGCCTGCAAAACAGAGGAGTGGACTTACGAGAGGGCCCTGAGGTGGTCCCCGAGGGCACTCCGACGGTCAAGTTAGTTTTCCGGTGAGTAGGGTTCCCGGGGATTAACTTAGTCAGAGTGGATTGAGCATCAGGAGTGAGCGTACCTTGGGCAATGGGTGTGTAGCACTATTTATACCTGGGCCAGAGTCCGACCTCCGTACGTTCCGGGACCTTCCTGATATAATCTCAATCCCGCGCCGAGCGGGATCTCCTCCGACCTCTGCGGGACGGTCTCCTGATCCCCCTGGAGCCCTAGCGGGGGTGCGGCCCAGGGCGGTCGCCAGGAGCCTGGGGCCGGAGCCCAGCTCGGCTATACCTGGGCTGCCACGTGTCTAGGCCCAGTACGGGGCCTCTGCAGCCACCTTTTCCTCGTCACTGCATCCGGAAATGTCCATCTCAGATAGGCCTGTCAATGGGCCGGTCCGGGCTGAAATTCATTATTTCGAACCCGGACCCGGCATACCAAATCGGATCCGGATTCGATCCGTTTATCCGACGGGTCTTCTACTCTATGTTTCGGATCCGGATCCGGGTCTACCTCCGAAAAAAATTATGAAAATTTACAATTTCTAATAAAAATGAAAAAAAATATATTTGTACACTAATTTCTAACTAATACAAAAAAAAAATCAAATAAGAAAATAAATCAAATTGACTTTACTCAAATACATCATCCTAATCAAATTATATTAATAAATATACATATTTTAAGTTATTAATTCATTTATATCCAGATCCGGGTTTAATACGGGTCGGAATATTATATTCCGTATCCGACACATTTTTTTGTTTTACAAAATGGATCCGGATCCGGGTCCGGGTAACGAAATTAAATCCCTACCCATACTATATTCCGTATCCGATCCATTTTTTTGTTTGACAAAATGGATCCGGGTAACGGAATTAAATCTCTACCCATATCTGCAATAATTTCACGAATCCGGGGCGGGTCTGGGTATAGACCCGAACCGTTGACCGGCCTAATATCAGATAACCAGTCATAGGCCGCTAGCTGTTCCGAAGTCCCATCAAAGGATGGCGGTGCCAGTTTCAGAAACTTGCATATCCCGTTTTGCTTGTGCAGTTCCCAAAGCCTGGTGTCCATTTCTTGCATCTTCTGCATCGTCACATGATCTTGCTGCTTGCACAGAGCATCAATGTTCTCTTGGGGAAGCAGACCAGTCTGCATAATTGAGGAGTCTACACATTGGAAGTCATTCAAGTGATCAGATCCCTTACAATGCTGTGATGTCATTTCAGCCTACATCCATGATCCACTTGAAAAGTTATAGAGCATGAAAAATATTAGCAAAATGCCTTCCCTCCTTCAAAAAACAATACCATTAGAAAACTATTGAAAAAAGAAAGAAGGAAATAAATAAAGAGAAATTACTAGTGGTAGGGGTGGTTGAACAGCCATTTTTCCCCGAAAAATTGCATCATTTTTTGTAATTATATTTTTTTATTATTATTATTTTTATATACATCAAATTGCTATAGTAATTTTTCTACAAAAAATCCGAGAAAACCCAATCCAAACAACTATAAAGGTACCTGATCCCAAGTCCCTACTTATGAACAAACTCCAGCTTACACAACATCTTATCTATTTGACATGCACGTAACTTTGTCTTGTAAGCCATGCCGTTTAAATCATCAAAATTCACCAGTAAAATAAAGACTATTTTGCAAAGAAATGAGCCCCTAAGTATTTTGAAATACTAGTAGTCTAATCCACTTTCCACAATCTACAAAGTCCTCCATCAACTAAACCATTCCCAAAAAAAAAAGTACTTAATTCAAAGCAAAACCCCTAAATTTTGATTGGAAATGCAAATATTGGTAGAATAACGTAGCAATATTATAATTAATATCGCAAATCCACTCTAGCTGGAGAGTGTGAATGGAAGTCTGAGCTAAGTTAAAAAAAATGCAGGAACGAACTACTAGTGTAATCAATAATCTCGAAGTAACAAGTGTTTCAGGTTCTCAATACGTTATGCTTGTGGGTTGTTTTTTTTTTTCACTTTTTTTTTGGATGAAATTGTGTGTTGGTTAAATACGTTAATTTCTTTTCTAGATCTTCAGGCTAATAAAATCTAAATTCTTGAAACCGGAAACCATTTTTTTTCGTTAAGAAAACAAACAAAATTTAAAGGCTGTATTATGTTCTTTAACCAAATCAGAATTTGATTTTTATCAGAATGATATCTTTCTATTCAGCTCAGTTGAAATAAATATGATTTCGATTCCAATCCAAATTTAATTTCGATAGAGAGCCAAATACAGTCTTATTTTGAGTTTGTTGAACATTTACAAGTGGACAACAAATATAAATTCTGACTATTTTTTTTTTGGCTGCTAGAAAAGATATAAAATGGACAACAAAAAATAATTAAGAAAAAAAGAAAAAGATATATATAGGCTTTCCTTTAGCCCTGCTCCCCGCAAGCAAAAACGAATAGTCAAGCAAGCATTCAAGGCCTGCAACAAACCACCAATTTGGCAAATTTCTCGTTTTAGCTTATTCTGCTTTGAGCTTTTCGAAGTTTTGCAACATCCCTTCACCTTTCTTACCCTTTCTTTCCCAAAACCCTCCTCAACTGTGACTTGTTTGTGGGAGACAGAGCACGGAGGAAGAAAAAGGTCTGGCCTTTGTCCAGGCCGATTAATGCTGAAAACCCAAACAAAGCGGCAAAGCTAGCTATAAAAGCAAAGAGATTGAATGTGGTTGGGCCCGTTATTCCTGTTAATTTCTAGTGTATAGAAATCTATCTGAATCATATTGTATTGGGTTTGAATTTTTTTTTTTTTGGATAGCAAGCTAAATGATAATAAAGATTGCATTTTTATGGGGTCAAACTTGGTTTCTCTGCATCAATTCACCGTTCTGAATTCTGGGTTTTTCATGTTTTCAATTATATTTGCGGTTTTTTTATTTTGGAAAATTCGTTGTATTTTTGCTCGTTAAATTTTAATGTTTTCCTTCTCCATGTGGGTTTCGTTTGTTGGTTTTATTGATGTTGGGGTTTCAAAGCAGCTATATTTTGGTTTGTAATTTCACGTATGCTTGGTAATTTTCTTGATTTGTACAGGGATTTTTGGAGAAGGCACAAGAGGAAGGTCTATATTACACTTGGAGTTTTAGGAAGTGGATATTTCTTATACAAGCTTTATGATGCTCATAGGAGAAGGATCTCTGATCTGGAGAGAGAACTCGCTACTGAAAGGGAAAACGATGAACTTGTTAAGGCCCAGTTAAGCATCAAATAACACAAAATATTGCATGTTCTGTTTTATTGTTGTATTGCAATGTTGCAAAGAATAAGTTTGACAAAATCCTGCTCAAAAAAGAAAAAATAAGTTTAACGAAATCTTTTTTTTATGGGAATTTTATTTGATGGACAGAATGCAAGAACACTTCGAGAATGTACAAAGGATTGCTGATTCGACAACATTGCCGCATGTGATGCAATACTTAAGTACTCGGGTAGCTGAAGAGTTAGACCTTGCTCCCTTGACTGAGAGGTTAATGCGAGGGAAAGGTCAACCAAACACACTAACAGCTGCAGAGAAACTTGAGCTGTGGGATAGACTCAAAATACTAAGTAAGAGTTGCAGTGTCTTTTTCTCTCCTGTTGAGATGCAGCTTGCATTTTGTTTTGCCATGGAACGGTAAAGCATTGTACTTGGCTGAAATTTGAGTCTCTGTCATTTTCCAGGTTTTACGAGAATGGTCTTGTCTGTTTGGGCAATGACAACTCTAAACTTATTTATTAGAGTTCAAGTCAATATACTAGGGAGGCATCTCTATATTGACACTGCCCGTGGACTTGGGAATTCTCATCTACTTGTAAGTACTTCTTTTCCAGTGTAAGAAAATTTGTATGTAGAAAATGTTGATTCACTTTGTAAAATTTTTTGAGTTTCGGTTCTCAAATCTGAAAAAATCTAGCCAATAGATGAATGCGATTTTAGAATAATGGGAGGATTAAATACTATGTAAAAAGATAGTTGTTGATATTCTAATAAACTGGATCAGTTATGCCATTGATTGCTAACTGTGGAGGAGGGGTTCAGACTTGTGCTCTGTGTTGATCCTTTTGTGTCTCATGAAGACTCGCGTTTCAAAACTTTGTGGTGATCCATTCCTTTCCAATGGTTTCCTTTACTCCATTAACCACATATCTTTTTGTGCTTGTTTATAAAAGATCTTGTTACACTCAATAGTTGAAGGTCATTAATTACCAGTTCCTCTATGTACTTTTCTTTTTCTTGTTAATGAATCTCTTTGCTCCAGACTTGCAATTCTTAAGTGTAAATCACAGTAGCTTTGACATGTTCTCAAAGAAGATAGAAAATATGAAAGTACTCTTATACTCTCTTTACTAATTACTACATACTTGGCCAAATTTGACCAAAATTTTGGCTGAACTTTAGAAATGTGAAGTTCACCGATAACAGGTAGTGATCTTTTTGAAAGGCACGGTATACAGAAATGGCATATCATTTCATTTTTTGAAGTCATGTAATGTAGTGTAATCAATCAAAACCTCCCCTTTGACCATAAGGAGAACAACCACAGCGAGTGGCTGATGGGTCCATCATAATTCACTCAAAAACTCCGCCCATCTGATTCTCTTACCTAAACCAACCTACCTCCTTCTCTGCCGTGCCTTCCGCCTTATCATGCAACCTACATGTGGATCCCTGCCTGCTCATCATAAAATTATTTAAATCTCTTCCACCATTATCAAATTTATTTACATTCAACATAGGATAGTGACACCACACCCTAACTTGTAAATTAAATGTTCATTTTTTTTGTACATGGGTACAAATG